TCACAAGGGCATTTCTTACACAATATCAACTGTCAGGGATTTAGCTTCAAATCATATATCTTTACAAGGTATGGAAAAGAAAGCAACTGAGAGCTTAAAAAAATATGCACAAAGATGGAGAGACATGGCTGCACAAGTTTAACCTCTTCTCACTGAGAAAGAAACAACTGTTTTATTTGTGAACACCTTGAAAGTACCGTACTATAAGAGATTGATAGGCAATGCAATCAAGAACTTTACAGATATAGTGATATCAAGTGAGATCATTGAAAATTCTATAAAAAATGGCAAGCTTGATACAAGAGAGATAAGTGGAGTAAAAAAAGGTGAGCCTTCTAAACAAAAAAGAATGAAGTTCAAACAGTGAACTATATGGGGCAACAGTTCAGAGGTTTCACACCTTATTCTGCACCAGTCTACCAGACCCATTACCCTTTCGTAAACCATGTTACATCCATTCTTCATCTATATCAACCATACCAATCATTACCACAACCAGCTTATCCACCTTATTTTTAGCCATCTTTTTGGACATCCACCTACAATCATCCTACTATACCTATAAGACTAGAATGAAAACCTAGTCCTAATAGTGGTCTAAAAGCTTTAAGAAATACCCAAGAAAAACTCATCTTTGACCTCATTTCCATGATATACACAGATTTGTATCCCTGACTTGTTGAGAAACATTTACTTGCTCTTGTTATTGTTGAACCCTTGAAACCTCCGTTTCCCAAATGGTATGACCCCAATGAGCATTGTGATTATCACTATGGGAATCTAGGTCATTCCACTGAGAACTGTACTGCTTTAAAGGGCAAAGTGCAAGGGTTAATCAATGAAGGGGTATTAAACTTTGATACCAACCAATAATGGACTCCAAATGTTAATGAGAACCATCTACCGAACCATTCCAGACCATCAATAAATACCTTAATTGATGGGCAAAAAAGCCACGTAAAAGAAATAATAGATAAAGTTAAGACTCTGATGGCTAAAGTGTTTGAAGTCTTGATCAAAGCTAACATGTTGAAGTCAATAGAACCTCAGAATTACTCTGAAGTGATTAACTCAACTAAAAGCTGTAATTATCATAGAGGTGCTTTGGGGCATTTTATCAAGAATTGTCACCAATTCCATTAAAAGGTGCAAAAATTAATGGATATAGGTCGGATAGAGTTTTACGAAAAAAGTGAAAAGTTAATGAAAACTGAAGTGTCTACAATTGATTCAAAGAATAAGTTTATGTGTAGACCGATAACTATCTATTATGATAAAAAGCAGACATTGAAGTTAAAAAAGCCCGTCTCCTGACCAATGGTGACAATTAAAGTTCTTGGCCTTTTTTCATACCAGAATGACAAAGCAGTACCATAAAAGTATGATTATGATATCGTAGTCAATCCAGATACTGTGAACATAACAGGCATAAAAGGTATAACTCGAAGTGAAAGATGTTATACTCTAAAAGCTTTAGAAAAAGCCAAAAAAAAAGCAAAGGTAAGAGAAGAAGTGGAAAATCAGAATAATCCTATCATAGCCCCAGGAAAAGAATGTCAGAAGTCAATCTCTGAGAGCAAAGCTTACAAATTTTTAAAGTTAATAAAACATAGTGAATATAACGTGGTAGAACAACTTAACAAGATGCCAGCTAGAATTTCATTATTATCATTATTGCTAAGCTCAAAGTTATACCACAATGCTATACTAAAAGTGCTAAATCAAGCATATGTGTCTCATAATGCTTTTGTTGAATATGTGGAACAACTTATTAGTAATCTGATAATTTTAAACTATATCTTCTTCAGTGATGAAGAGATTTCTCTTGAAGGTCAAGAAAGTACCAAAGCTCTTCACATTATTGTAAAGTGTAAGAGTTATATAATAGCTAAGGTTTTTATCGATAATGGCTCATCCATCAATATTATGCCTATGACTACTATGGCAAAACTCCTTGTTGATGGATCTTATATGAAGCCTAGTCATATGATAGTTTGAACCTTCGATGAGACCCGAAGAAAGGTGTTAAGAGATATAGAAATGCCATTATAGATTGGCCCATGCACTTTTAATGTGAAATTCCAAGTTATGAATATCTCTATTTCATACAGTTATTTATTAGGTAGGTCATGGATCTATATGGCAAGAGCTGTTCTATCCTCATTACATTAGAAAGTCAAATTCATTATTAAAGGAAAGCTAACATGTGTGGTAAGAAAAGAAGATTTACTGGTAACTCAACCGGTAAATACTCTTTATGTGAAATCAACAGATGAAGCACTAAAATGCACTCATAGATCCTTCGAGATTGCCAATGCCACATATATGGCTAAAAGATCTAAACTATATTCGTCACACTTATCTACAACTACTAAAATGGTCGTTAAGCAGCTTACCAGGATGGGATGACAACCTAGAACTGGACTAGAAAAGAACTTACAAGGAATCATAGAGCCACCAGCAGTATATAATAAGAAAGATAGATTCGGCTTGGGATATAAGCCAACAAGAAAAGATAAAATGAGAATGATGAATGAAAAAAAATAAAATGATAGCTAATCTTGAAGGATATGAATCAGAGTCAGAGCTTATGATCATTCTATACCTCTATGATTCATTTCGTTCAGGAGGATATATTTACATAGATTTGCTTAGAGCCCTAAGTGCATAATTTGTAGAAGAATTTTCAAAGCTCGCCATTCAAATGGTGGATGACAAAGAAAAGAAGAGTTAAGATAAAGAGCTATTCATGCACCATTGTCCTCTAGATTTTGAGCTAGACAATTGGAAAGTCGTAGAGTTGTCTGTTATCTTTAAAACTTCTAAAAAGTAATGTATTGTAAAACTTTAAATCTCTAATTGCTTTTATGAGCATTGGGTGATCCTTTGTGGTATCTTTATGTTTGTCTTTTTAATAAAAGACTTAGAAGATGCATCCGTATTTTTTCTATTATTTTCATTTTCATTTCACTTTCCATTTTCCCTTTCTATCATTTTTTTGCCATTCATTTTTGTGTGCCAATATTCTCTTCATCTTACCCTTTGTAGGGTCTCAAATAATGAACACGAAGATAATCATGGCAATAATTTTAGATTTGATTTTGAAAACTTAATTCATGTTAATGAACTTGATAATGAGGAAGATTCAAATAACTACACATTGCCTCCTGATTTGTTAAATTTAATAGAACATGAAGATAAGCCAATCGAGCCCTACCAGAAAATTATTGAATTAGTGAATTTGGGGGACGATGAAAATAGAAGATAGGTTTCTTTTTTACCAACTGAAAGGTAAAAACTAGAAGAGCTGCTTCGAGAATATATGGATGTGTTTGCATGGTCTTACTAGGATATACCAGGACTTAGCACTAATATTGTAGAGCATAAGTTGCCTTTAAAACCAAAATGCAAGTCGGTGCAACAAAAGCTAAAGCGTATGAAGTCGGAGATGCTGCTAAAAATTAAAGAGAAAATGAAGAAACAATTTGATGCTGGATTTTTGAAGATAGTAAAATATCCTGAATGGGTAGCCAACATAGTGTTGTTCCTAAGAAAGATGGAAAAGTGAGAATGTGTGTTGATTATTGATATCTGAATAGGACAAGCTTTAAGGATAATTTTCTTTTGCGTCACATCGATACTCTAGTGGATAATACTGCTAGGCATTTTACATTTTTCTTTACGGATGGCTTTTCAGGCTACAATCAAATCAAGATGGCTCGAGATGATATGAAAAAAACTACATTTGTGACCATGTGTGGGACATTCTGTTACAAAGTCATGCCTTTTGGGTTGAAAAATGTAGGTGCCACTTATCAAAGAGCAATGGTGACTCTTTTTCATAATATGATGCATAAAGAAATAGAGGTATATATGGATGATATGATTGTAAAATCTCATGAAAGCGAAGATCATGTAGTCAACCTCAAAAAGCTATTTGATAGGTTAAAAAATTTTTAGCTGAAGTTGAATCCTGCTAAATATATATTTGATGCCAAATCAGGAAAACTATTAGGCTTTATGGTCAATAAAAGAGGAATTGAAATGGATCCGGATAAGACACAAGCCATTCAAAACTTATCTCCTCCTTGTACACTAAAAGAAGTGCGAGGTTTCCTAGGGAGATTGAACTATATTGCTCGTTTTATCTCTCAACTCACCTATAAGTGTGATCCTATTTTCAAGCCTTTTAGAAAACATGATCCAAAAGAATGGAATGATAAATGTCAAAAGGCTTTTGATAAGATCAAAGAATACTTGTCAAATCCAACTATGTTGGTACCATCAATCTCGAGAAAATCTTTGATTTTGTACTTAACAGTGCATGAAAATTCAATGGGATGTATGCTGGGGCAAAAAGATGAAACTGATAGGAAAGAACCAGCGATTTATTACTTGAGTAAGAAATTTACTGATTACAAGTCTAATTATTCACCATTAGAGAAGATGTGTTGTGCATTGGCCCGGACAGTAAGAAAACTCCGACAATACATGCTTTATCACACTACTTGGCTCATAGCAAAGTTGGATCCTATTAAGTATATCTTCGTGAAACCCTCATTGACAAGAAAGATAGCACGGGGGCAAGTTATGCTTTCAGAATATGATATTATTTATATGACTCAAAAGGCTATTAAAAGAAGTCCAATAGCTGAGTTTTTTACCGATCTTGCAACTGAAGATTATGAGCCAATGAAACTGGATTTTCCTGATGAAAATGTGATGCCCATTGAAGAAAATGAACCTGTTGAAAATTTTTGTAGGATGTATTTTGATGGAGCTATAAATGCTTTAGGCCATCGTATTGGGGCAATTTTAATATCTCCGATGAATATTATTATCCAATCACAGCTAGGTTGAATTTCAATTGCATAAACAATATGGCTAAATACGAGGCCTGTGTTATAGGTCTACAAGCAGCAATTGAAAAGAAGATCAAAATGTTGGATGTGTTTAGAGATTCAGCTTTAGTCATCTATTAGTTATGAGAAGAATGAGAAATGAGAGATTTCAAGTTGCTACAATACCATAAATACATCTCTGAATTGGTCAAGCAATTCGAAGAAGTTCAGTTTGAGCATATGCTTAGAAAGGAAAACCAAATTATCGATGCATTGGCTACTCTAGCTGCAATGATTAAAATAGATGCAACTACTAAAATTCAACCCATCAAACTAGATGTGAATGATGAACCGGCGCATTATTTAGGTGTCGAAGAAGAAGTTGATAGGGAGCCATGGTATCATGACATTGTACAATACATTAAAAGTCAATAATACGTAAAACATACAACAAAAAATGATAAGAGGACTATTAGAAGGTTGGCTATGAGTTTCTTCCTTGATAGAGATGTTTTTTACAAAAGAGGTCGAGATCAAGTGCTTTTAAGATGTGTGAATGTAGTTGAAGTGAAAAGGATTATTGGAGAAGTGAATGATGGAGTTTGTGGGGCACACATAAATGGTCATATGATGACTAGGCAAATTATGAGGGCTGGCTATTATTGGTTGACAATGGAGAGTGACTATATTAATTATGCTAGAAAATGCCATAAGTGTTAGATCTATGCCGATAAGATCCAAGCTCATCTAATAGCATTACATGTTTTGGCTCCTCTATGGCCATTCTCTATGTGGGGCATGGATGTCATTGGTCCATTACTCCAAAAGCTTCAAATGGGTATAGATTCATCTTTATGATGATATGCAGATATGAGCTTTCAAAGAGAATTATTTTTTATAATGCCAAAAACTTGAATAACAAAATGATGAATGAAGCGTGCACTCAATTCAAGATCCATCATCATAATTCGGTACCACATCGCCCAAAGATGAATGGGGCAGTGGAGGCTGTGAACAAGAATATCAAAAGAATCTTAGAGAAAATAACTTATTGGCATGAGAAATTACCTTTTGCTTTGCATGCTTATAGAACATCAGTCTAAACATCTACTAGGGCCACGCCATTCTCTTTGGTATATGAAATGGAAGATGTGCTATCGATCGAAGTGAAAATTTTCTCACTAAGAGTCCTGATGGAGGTAGAGTTCGAAGAAGCAGAGTGGGTTCAAAATCACTACGAACAATTGAACCTCATTGAAGAGAAAAGACTTACAGCACTTTGTCATAGTCAATTATATCAAAAGAGGATGATGAGAGCACATGATAAAGAAAATTCATCCCTGTTGCTTTAGGGAGTGAGACTTAGTGTTGAAAAAGATCCTTCCAAATCAACATGATAATCGAGGAAAATGGACACCAAATTGAGAGGGCCCATACGTGGTGAAAAGGCCATTTCTAATAGGGTATTTAATTTTGGCAGGGATGGACGTAAGTGATTTGCCTACTTCAATAAATTCAGATGCTATAAAAAAATATTTTACTTAAAAAAAAGAAAAATGATGACTTACTAAGCTGAAAACCTAAAAAAGACTGCTTGGATATGAAGGAAAAGCATCATTAAGAGAAGATCCCATAACACCGGGGTAAGTGTAGTTTGATGAATTCTGAAAGATCAAGAAAGTCATCTGATTTAGTTTTAGAAAAAGAATTTGAAAATATTTTACTCATGATTATCTTGTGATCATTATTTGGGCATCTTTGTTCCAACTCAACTTTTGTTGCCATGCACTTATTATCAGTTTAATGAAATATGCTATCTTTCTTTTGGAAATAATGCCTATCCATTCCTTTATTCTCATTTGATATTTTTGTTCACCATACAAATAAGAGAAATGTGTGATTGCATTTTGTTTGTCTTGAACTTAAAATGATGAAAAGAAACACAAACATAAAAGATCTTAGCATTACTTTTAAAAAAAAAAAAGTTGACAAAGGCAAATAAAAAAGGATGAGAAAAGCATGACAAGACATTGATGTTGCAGACTTTTGAAGAAAAAAAATATTGTGGTCAGACGTTAAGAACAGATTGGTCTTATAAGAATTTTGATAAAAGAAGCCAAAAAGTGAGAGATTTCGAGAACCTTTTTACTACAATGAATAATTTTGATTGCATTACATGCATTACATTTAGAGCACTCAGTACATGCATCCATGAGCAGTTTTAATAAGGACATAGACTTTCCATTTCCTAATGAAAAATAAGATTTTTATATTTGGATGAGGATAATAATCAAACAGAAGATTTCAAAAGAGAGAAATTTACTTGTTTAAAGATAAGAACTTGATTTTGAGAACAGATAAAGATTTTTAAAGTTGTTGAGCCTCTGCTGAGAGAAACTTTTTTCAGATGAAATTTTAAAGTTGTTGAACCTTTGCTGAGAAGGGTTTTTTTCCAGATGAGAATTTTTAAAGTTATTAAGCCTCTACTGAGAGAAGCCTTTTTCAAATGAAATTTTAAAGTTATTGAGGCTTTGCTGAGAGAAGCTTTTCAAGATGAGAATTTTTAAAATTGTTGAGCCTCTGTTGAGAAGAGCATTTTCAAGATGAGATTTTTAAACTTGTTGAGCCTTTGCTGAGAGGAGCTTTTTTAATATGAAAATTTTTAAAGTTGTTGGGCCTCTGCTGAGAGGAACTTTTTCCAGATGAAATTTTAAAGGTTGTTGAGCCTCTGTTAAGAGGAGCTTTTTCAAGATAAGATTTTTAAAGTTGTTGAACCTCTGTTGAGATGAAGCTTTTTCAAATGAGATTTTTAAAGTTGTTGAGCCTTTGTTGAGAGGAGCCCTTTTCAAGATAAGAATTTTAAAGTTATTGAGCCTCTGCTGAGAGAAGCTTTTTCAAAATGAGAATTTTTAAAGTTGTTGAGCCTCTGCTGAGAGAAGCCTTTTCAAAATGAGAATTTTTAAAGTTGTTAAGCCTCTGCTGAGAGGAGCCCTTTCCAAGATGAGGTTTTTAAAGTTGTTAAGCCTCTGTGGAGAGGAGCCTTTTTCAAGATGAGAATTTTTAAAGTTATTGAGCCTCTATTGAAATGAGCCTTTTTCAAGATAAAATTTTAAAGTTATTAAGCCTCTGCTGAGGAGAGTTTTTTTCAAATTTTAAATTTTCAAAAGTTATCGAGCCTCAAGTGAAAAGAGCATTTTCGATTTGATGAGAAAAACTTTTTGAGTAGTTTATGTTCAAAATAAAATGGAAAGAAAATTTCCTTTGGATTTCGGATAAAATTATTATCTTTGTCTTTGTCCTATTCTTGATTCTCAGTAATATGCAAAGAGGGACAGCTGTAGACATCAAATTTGTCTGGCCTTAATCAAATTTGTTATTTTTAATAAATAATAAATAAGATAATAATAACATTATTAAATAAAATAATAAAAATTAAATAAAAATACAGAATACAAAAAAATATAAAATGCAAAATGCAAAATACCAAAAAAATACAAAAAATAAAAAAAAGAATAGAAAAAAACAAAAGAGGGGGGATAGTAGTGGTGCCGGGCCATGTCCTACCCACCATACCCTATCCCTCTTTCATACCCTGTAAATTTTATGCTAACTATTCTACCCTACCACTGAATAAAACAGACGAAATAAAAGGGGTGAGAAGCTCGTGCTCACCCCTATGGCGAGCTTTGTGCCACCTACTTAGGCATAAGGCATAGTTGGAGCTCTATAAATAGAGCTACTGGCTGAACCTAACAAGAAAGGGGGGAAACCCTATAAAAAATAGAAAAAGCTTTTTCGCCATAAAAACACCAAAAAAATACATAAAAAATCATTCAATCCCTTGGGATGGGGAACGCAGCACCGATAGTTCTTGTAGAAAGAAAAAAACAAAGTCAGTTTAAAAAAAGGGTTTGACCAAAACTTCAAGAATAGATCTGAAGAATTTGGGACTCTTTTTTGTGAAAAAGAGATTAGATCTGTGTTTAGCGGTTTATGAGGAGTTTGCGAGTGTTTTTTGTAATTTTTTGACCACCGACTGGCGACCACCGGCGATGACCGACGATTGGCCGACCGACCTAAAGAGAAAGGCTCTAGGAATGGGAGAGAGTTAGAGAGAGAAGAAGAGAGGTAAAAATGACAAAAAGAGAAAATTTTTGACTTTTATAAAAATTACCAAAGACCAAAATGACATCGTTTCAATAAAACCTCAAAGCGACGTCGTTTTAAGTCTTAAGGATCTGAGCGTCAACCCGCGACCCGACCCGGGATTCGCGCACCCGACCTACACCCACTTCTCTATCAGCCTTTAACCGATCCTACTAAATCGAAATCGAATCGCTGAACTCGATCTAGACCGAAATCGAACCCCTGAACGTGATTGAATCGCCAAATGGAATCGTCGAACTTGATCGAACTGTCGGACAGAACTACGCATTGACTGATCCGGTTCAAGTAAAAAAAAATTTTTTTTATTTTTTTTAGAATTTTTAAAAAATATTATTTTTGTTATTTTAATTATTATTCTTAATATTTATGCATGTTAAAATGTTTAAATTTAACATAATAAATTTTTGTTGTTTTATAATAATAATTAATAAAAAATATATAATAAAAGTTTTTGATAATTATATTAATTTTAGAATAAATCTTATAAAATAATAAAAAAAAAATTTTTTTTATCCGATGATGAGATTTTGAGGTATTTCGAGTAGTGATACCTACGAAATCTCTAGGTGAAAAATTTTTTTTTAAATACTACCAGTGTATTAAAGTATTTATAAAAAGTTTTCAATACAATAAAATTTTTTTCTTATAAAATAATAAAAAAAATTAAATCAATATATTAAAAAAATAATAATATAAATAAGAAAAAAAGAAATTTTATCCAATGATGGGATTCTAAAAGTATTCCGAGTAGTGATGCTTTATGAAATCCCTAGGTGAGAAGATTTTTTTTAATATTACCAATGTATTGAAATATTTATAGAAATCTTCAATATAATAAAATTCTTTTTTCTTCAAAATTTCAATTGAAAATAAAAAAATCAAATAAAATTATTTAATAAAATTTTTAAATAAAAATAAAATGTGTGCATTAACTTATTATCATCTGCATTGCATGTATGATATAATTTTTATGAAAAGTAAATTCGAACCTTCGAGGATAAGATTTTAAGGTATTCTGAAAGTGATGCCTAGGAAATCTCTAGATGAGAAAAAGTTCTTCTAATGTTACCAATGTACTGAAACATTTTAAGAATTATTTCAATAAAAAGGTTCAAATCTATTTTTCTCGAATAATTTTTTTAAAATTAAAAACCAATTTTCAATAAGTGAATAATTAAGAAAATTATTTTTTAAAACATCGAAAATAGGACTGTTTTTCATCAAAATCAAAGGATAACACGTAGTTAATTGCTACCGTTTTAAACGGGCACTGTGGGGATGCTAATCCTTCCTCACACGTAACCGACTCCTGAACCCAGACTGTTACGTAGACCCTAAGATTATCCTTTTAATAAATTTTAACTAATTTTAAGATTTCATTAAAAGGATATGTTTTGATAGGTGGGCAATCACACCTAGCCAAAAAAGATCGGTGGCAACTCCGCTTTTTTGTGTTCTTTTATTTTCGTTTTCAAATTTATCGAGAGGCTCCAAAACTGTTACAACACCATTCATGCATCAAAATACTAAACATAACATTTCTAATAATAATGCAATTGTGTAATTCAAGGTTCAAGGATAGCTCCAACAAGTAAGAACCCCACTCATAATGTAATACAATAGCTCGAGCTAAACAGATGGAACAAAAAAATTCCAACTATTTTAAGAGTACAGAGAAAGCTTAAGAGAAGCTTGAAGAGGAGTTGAGAAAGATTTTAGAGGCTTTGAAGAAGTTGAACAAGAAAAAAAATGTCAAATAAAATACTAGCCAATAGGATCGTCTATTACAATAGTTAATGGACTTTTATATATCTTTTTGGTTTTAAGCCACATTAAGCTCAGTCCACTCAAGATGCACCACCCCAACAGATCACATACCTTGTAGGATACACATACCCTAGAATGCCATCAGCTTCAAATCCAAGATATTACCAAAGTTATATAAATCTTTTCTTTACTAAAAAAGTAATGGAAGAAATTTAGGTCCCTAATTTGGATGATCTAAAGGAGAAAGAAAAATTAAAGGCAAAAGTGGTTGAGTTGTTGAAGGACTTGATAGCTGACTAAAAGATTAGTATGCTAGAAGAGAGGCTACGAGCAATGAAAAGAATTGGTTTTTATGGTTTTGTAGAAGCTGTTGGGCTCTATTTAGTCTCAGATGTTATTATTCCTTTAAAGTTTAAAGTACCAGAGTTTGAAAAGTATGATGGTATAAAATGTCCAAAGACTTATATTACTATATGATAGCCCATGCTAATAATAAAAAGTTGCTCATATACATATTTCAAGATAGCTTTACTGACTTCACTACTAGATAGTATGTCTAGCT